ACTGCTCAAACCTGCCCTACCCAAAAGTTTACAAAACACAACCCCCCCAACCCCCTCCCCGCCCTCCCCCTCCCCACTAAAAGCTGATAGCTGCGAACAAACTTCCGAAGTTGCAACTGTAAAAACTCTCATTCAACCTCTCAGGCCCCCACCACCACTCGTTCCTCAGGTCGCATGAAGGCGATGGAAAACCTGAGCTTGCTCTTCGGGATGCTCAAGGTTTGGGGGATGGAAAACAAAGGTGATTCTTTTGGATGGCTCAGGGAACAACGCGAAGCCTTCAACACCCAACTCCACGAGAAGCTTTCCTGAAGCTGGCTGCGGGCGGGTGTCCCGCACCAGCTTTCAGGCACACGGTGGCCCCCAAGCTCTGCTTCAAGCTGGCTGCGGGCGGGTGTCCCGCACCAGCTTTCAGGCACAAGGTGGCCACAATCTGCCTTCAAGCTGGCTGCGGGCGGGTGTCCCGCACCAGCTTTCAGGCACAAGGTGGCCACAATCTGCCTTCAAGCTGGCTGCGGGCGGGTGTCCCGCACCAGCTTTCAGGCACAAGGTGGCCACAATCTGCCTTCAAGCTGGCTGCGGGCCCGCACCAGCTCTCAGGCACAAGGTGGCCACAATCTGCCTTCAAGCTGGCTGCGGGCTGGTGTCCCGCACCAGCTTTCAGGCACAAGGTGGCCACAATCTGCCTTCAAGCTGGCTGCGGGCGGGTGTCCCGCACCAGCTTTCAGGCACAAGGTGGCCACAATCTGCCTTCAAGCTGGCTGCGGGCGGGTGTCCCGCACCAGCTTTCAGGCACAAGGTGGCCCCAATCTGCCTTCAAGCTGGCTGCGGGCTGGTGTCCCGCACCAGCTCTCAGGCACAAGGTGGCCCCAATCTGCCTTCAAGCTGGCTGCGGGCTGGTGTCCCGCACCAGCTTTCAGGCACAAGGTGGCCACAATCTGCCTTCAAGCTGGCTGCGGGCTGGTGTCCCGCACCAGCTTTCAGGCACAAAGTGGCCACAATCTGCCTTCAAGCTGGCTGCGCGCGGGTGTCCCGCACCAGCTTTCAGGCACAAGGTGGCCACAATCTGCCTTCAAGCTGGCTGCGGGCGGGTGTCCCGCACCAGCTTTCAGGCACAAGGTGGCCACAATCTGCCTTCAAGCTGGCTGCGGGCGGGTGTCCCACACCAGCTTTCAGGCACAAGGTGGCCCCAATCTGCCTTCAAGCTGGCTGCGGGCTGGTGTCCCGCACCAGCTTTCAGGCACAAGGTGGCCACAATCTGCCTTCAAGCTGGCTGCGGGTAGGTGTCCCGCACCAGCTTTCAGGCACAAGGTGGCCCCAATCTGCCTTCAAGCTGGCGGCGGGCTGGTGTCCCGCACCAGCTCTCAGGCACAAGGTGGCCCCAATCTGCCTTCAAGCTGGCTGCGGGCTGGTGTCCCGCACCAGCTTTCAGGCACAAGGTGGCCACAATCTGCCTTCAAGCTGGCTGCGGGCGGGTGTCCCGCACCAACTTTCAAGCACAAGGTGGCCACAATCTGCCTTCAAGCTGGCTGCGGGCTGGTGTCCACCAGCTTTCAGGCACAAGGTGGCCACAATCTGCCTTCAAGTTGGCTGCGGGCGGGTGTCCCGCACCAGCTTTCAGGCACACGGTGGCCCCAATCTGCCTTCAAGCTGGCGGCGGGCTGGTGTCCCGCACCAGCTCTCAGGCACAAGGTGGCCCCAAGCTGCCTTCAAGCTGGCTGCGGGCTGGTGTCCCGCACCAGCTTTCAGGCACAAGGTGGCCACAATCTGCCTTCAAGCTGGCTGCGGGCGGGTGTCCCGCACCAGCGTTCAGGCACAAGGTGGCCACAATCTGCCTTCAAGCTGGCTGCGGGCTGGTGTCCCGCACCAGCTTTCAGGCACAAAGTGGCCACAATCTGCCTTCAAGCTGGCTGCGGGCGGGTGTCCCGCACCAGCTTTCAGGCACAAGGTGGCCCCAATCTGCCTTCAAGCTGGCTGCGGGCTGGTGTTCCGCACCAGCTTTCAGGCACAAGGTGGCCCCAATCTGCCTTCAAGCTGGCTGCGGGCTGGTGTCCCGCACCAGCTTTCAGGCACAAGGTGGCCACAATCTGCCTTCAAGCTGGCTGCGGGCGGGTGTCCAAGGTGGCCACAATCTGCCTTCAAGCTGGCTGCGGGCTGGTGTCCCGCACCAGCTTTCAGGCACAAGGTGGCCACAATCTTCCTTCAAGCTGGCTGCGGGCGGGTGTCCCGCACCAGCTTTCAGGCACACGGTGGCCCCAATCTGCCTTCAAGCTGGCTGCAGGCTGGTGTCTCGCACCAGCTTTCAGGCACAAGGTGGCCCCAATCTGCCTTCAAGCTGGCTGCGCGCGGGTGTCCCGCACCAGCTTCCAGGCACAAGGTGGCCACAATCTGCCTTCAAACTGGCTGCGGGCGGGTGTCCCGCACCAGCTTTCAGGCACACGGTGGCCCCAATCTGCCTTCAAGCTGGCTGCAGGCTGGTGTCCCGCACCAGCTTTCAGGCACAAGGTGGCCCCAATCTGCCTTCAAGCTGGCTGCGGGCGGGTGTCCCGCACCAGCTTTCAGGCACAAGGTGGCCACAATCTGCCTTCAAGCTGGCTGCGGGCTGGTGTCCCGCACCAGCTCTCAGGCACAAGGTGGCCCCAATCTGCCTTCAAGCTGGCTGCAGGCTGGTGTCCCGCACCAGCTTTCAGGCACAAGGTGGCCCCAATCTGCCTTCAAGCTGGCTGCGGGCCAATCTGCCTTCAAGCTGGCTGCGGGCGGGTGTCCCGCACCAGCTTTCAGGCACACGGTGGCCCCAATCTGCATTCAAGCTGGCTGTAGTCTGGTGTCCCGCACCAGCTTTCAGGCACAAGGTGGCCCCAATCTGCCTTCAAGCTGGCTGCGGGCTGGTGTCCCGCACCAGCTTTCAGGCACAAGGTGGTGGCCCCAATCTGCCTTCAAACTGGCTGCGGGCGGGTGTCCTGCACCAGCTTTCAGGCACACGGTGGCCCCAATCTGCCTTCAAGCTGGCTGCGGGCTGGTGTCCCGCACCAGCTTTCAGGCACAAGGTGGCCCCAATCTGCCTTCAAGCTGGCTGCGGGCGGGTGTCCCGCACCAGCTTTCAGGCATAAGGTGGCCACAATCTGCCTTCAAGCTGGCTGCGGGCTGGTGTCCCGCACCAGCTTTCAAACACACAGTGGCCCCAATCTGCATTCAAGCTGCCTGCAGGCTGGTGTCCCGAGCTTTCAGGCACAAGGTGGCCTCAATCTGCCTTCAAGCTTGCTGCGGGCTGGTGTCCCGCACCAGCTTTCAGGCACAAGGTGGCCCCAATCTGCCTTCAAGCTGGCTGCGGGCGGGTGTCCCGCACCAGCTTTCAGGCACAAGGTGGCCCCAATCTGCATGCAAGCTGGCGGCGGGCTGGTGTCCCGCACCAGCTCTCAGGCACAAGGTGGCCCCAATCTGCCTTCAAGCTGGCTGCGGGCTGGTGTCCCGCACCAGCTTTCAGGCACGAGGTGGCCCCAATCTGCCTTCAAGCTGGCTACGTGCTGGTGTCCCGCACCAGCTTTCAGGCACAAGGTGGCCCCAATCTGCCTGGCAGTGTCCCGCGCCAGCTTCCACGCACAAGGTGGTGTCCCGCGCCAGCTCTCAGGCACAAGGTGTCCCGTACCAGCTTTCAGGCACAAGGTGGCCCCTATCTGCCTTCAAGCTGGCTGCGGGCAGGTGTCCCGCACCATTTCAGGCACAAGGTGGCCCCAATCTGCATTCAAGCTGGCGGCGGGCTGGTGTCCCGCACCAGCTCTCAGGCACAAGGTGGCCCCAATCTGCATGCAAGCTGGCGGCGGGCTGGTGTCCCGCACCAGCTCTCAGGCACAAGGTGGCCCCAATCTGCCTTCAAGCTGGCTGCGGGCTGGTGTCCCGCACCAGCTTTCAGGCACGAGGTGGCCCCAATCTGCCTTCAAGCTGGCTACGTGCTGGTGTCCCGCACCAGCTTTCAGGCACAAGGTGGGCCCAATCTGCCTGGCAGTGTCCCGCGCCAGCTTCCACGCACAAGGTGGTGTCCCGCGCCAGCTCTCAGGCACAAGGTGTCCCGTACCAGCTTTCAGGCACAAGGTGGCCCCTATCTGCCTTCAAGCTGGCTGCGGGCAGGTGTCCCGCACCATTTCAGGCACAAGGTGGCCCCAATCTGCATTCAAGCTGGCGGCGGGCTGGTGTCCCGCACCAGCTCTCAGGCACAAGGTGGCCCCAATCTGCATTCAAGCTGGCTGCGGGCTGGTGTCCCGCACCAGCTTTCAGGCACGAGGTGGCCCAATCTGCCTTCAAGCTGGCTGCGGGCTGGTGTCCCGCACCAGCTTTCGGGCATAAATTGGGGGCTGGTTTCCCGCATCAGTTTTCTCAACCTGGCTGCCGCACCAGCTTTCAACCACCATCCTATGTTGGGTTTGAGTGCAAGCAGGGTTATCCTGCGTAAAGCCTGGGCGGAAGCTAGGGCAGCTAGGGAACAGCTATTTATGGCGACGATCCACGAGGGCTGATCTGGTGCCCAAACAAAACATTCGGTCTCCCGAACAAGGTCTGACCTCTGCAGATCTGAAGGCAACATGTGTTTATGTTCGTGCCAAGACACGCATCATGCTTTGCCTCGGAAGGAAGGGGGGGGGGGGGCAGGTGCAGCAGCATATAGCATGCTGTGCTCCGTGGTCTGGTTAACGACATGCTCAGGGCTTAGTGGCGTAGCGCACAGGGGCATCAGCTCTGGAATAATCATAGCCTCGGCCTGTTCAGCCTTGTATAATTTTTAGTTTTAGAGCACTTTTCCAGGATCAGTGTAACTCAGTTTGCCTCTCAGAGTCTAATCACATACTAGGCGCAGATAACTTTGAGCAAAATACCTGCGACCTCGTCTGTGCCCGATTCAACATCTATGGACGAAGCACTTTCGAAGGCAAGAAAGGATCAACATTGAAGCCAGGAAAAATATTAGATCTAGGAATCGCAAACGGACTTCCAAAGCAAACTTCCCTTCACGTGCAGATCCGGGAGAAAAGAAAAAGCCGGGTGGCAATCAAGATCTGCGCCAACTCCCGGCTGGATCCCGACACGCCGTTTACACGGATGATCCGGTCGAAGGGCTTGATCTTGATGGACCTCGGTCAGTACTGAAACATGCTTAGGTGGGAATCCGCATGACCTGAAGTCCTTCGAACCTGCCCGAACACCTCTCCTCTCTGAGAACCTCAGGCACCTGTAAACACTTTGCGACGGCAAAATTCCGGAAAGTCCTTTGCAAAATATGGAAGTGAGGGGCTCATCGCACGTGGAGTTCCAGGCCCCGGCCAGGCCTCCTTCAACCTCCTTCACGATGCAGACATCCTCGTCCTTGCTTGGAGAAAGGAAAAGCACAGGCGCAGCTGTTTTGCGCAGAAACATAGGGCCTTCTTACAGCACTGCAACGCAGGCAAAGGGTCTGCCAAATCCAGGACCAAGCCGTGCTGCGCATTGCCTCCCTTCACCATGCCTGATCGACAGCTGCAGCACGGCTAGAGTTTGCAGCTTCGAGAATCCAACGGCCGATCTTAGCCCCTTTGATGGAGACTAACACAACATGCAGTAACAACACATCACAGATTGTTCAGGGCCTACAAACTCAGCAGACAGAAACACACCCCTGACCAGGTCTTTGCTATGGGCTTACAGAGTTGCGGGTGCAGTCGCTTCCGCAGCCCAAACTCATCAATGACTGTCGGGGTGCCTTTCTGCAGCTGCACCACGAAGGCGTTCTCTGGGAGCGCAGGTGCCGTTGGCGCAATACCCTCCTGGAGCGAAAAAGCTTCGTACTGAGCCTCGACTGCCAGAGGAATCTCAGACCTCGAAGCCTGGAAGGTCAATAGAAAGGCAAGCAGTTCAGCCTTGACCATCGACCCGTCAATGACTGTCTCGTTCTGGGAACCAGCCCAGACGCAGCCTGGTTGACCAACATGTACAATCATAGAGGCACCAAGGTTGAGCATGTGTACCTGATAGGGAGTACGTTACGAGGCTGGCGGTGGGGTGCTAACAAGTGCCCCATTCTGCAACGAGGTGACTGAGCATCCAACTTCAGACCCCCCACTTCGGCATTTAGCCCAACCTTCATAACCTTCATTGCAGCAGATTCCTGCTCGTCCAATGTTTTCCAACTCAATGGGGCTGCATGTGGCCATCTACCTGCTGCCTAGACAACCAACACCTTGGAAAGCTTATCCTCGACCGGAGTGCCCTACACAGCTCAGCAGGAGCTTGGGACCCCGCATGTTGCACAAGCCATGACCTGCAAACCACTGGCGGTTTTTCAGGTCAAGCGTTGCAAACAAGGCCTTATGCACAGCCCTGTTCATGATGACCTTCAAGTAGCTTCAGAGTGTGCCCAAGCTTGAATTTACCTACTACTGTACGCATGAGATCCAGCCAGCATTACAAACAGCACAAGCCCCTAATGGGTAGTTTCGCGGTCGGACGGGATTGAAGTTGTCATGTGCAAAAAGTTTAACTAGGCCGCGGCTTAGCATCCGTCTCTAGCGTTCGATGATGGGCTCTTTTCGTAAAAACATAAGGCAAACAAAGAAGTGAATCTGTCAGCCCGGAAATGAGCTCCGGCCTGGAAGATGTTGAAGCCCCGACTGTTCGGCGGAAAGCGCGTTCAATGTTCTCTGGAATTGAACAAATTAAATGGAGCTGTCGGCTGCAGTGGCTGAAGTCCCTCTGTGCGTACATTGGCGTACATGAACATGCTGCGTGCAATGCAAAATGCCACGCTGCGTCGCTTCCTGGCCGAGATGATGCAGGGCGCCACGTGTTGTGCAAGTCTTCTTCGGCTGTTCGGGTGGCTATCCCAGAAAGGATATGCCCCGACGGTTGTCGACCACAGAAACTAACTCCATTGACTTGTTGTCCTTGTCCTATATTCCTCAACCCTCAAGCCTCACGTCACCGCAAACGGATGGTCGCGCATTTTCCTCGGCCAGTTGCTCCTCGTCGGTCAGGTACGAGTAGGAGCTGTAGCTCCTGGAAAAAGAATCCATCACAAGCTCAGATTTCAATGGGTGTATCGCAATTGGGCAGCCTACTAAAAAAAATGCAGCTAGCGGCTAGTGCTATCTCAGTCCGCGACAGTGCCGGATCAGAACGCTGCCATTTCATGTGCTCTCCATGCCAAGCTTCGATTGCTGTGTGTGTTTCGACGTGTTAGGCAGCGAAGCCTTTGAAATTTTCTGGTCGCCTACAGTTCTAGAAAACAAAAGTCAAACAATAAGGACTTAAGAAGGAAAGTTGGCAAAATTTATTCCGATCCGCTTTGGAGTGCAGCTTGGACACGACGGACTCGGATTTGACCGCTGGGATCGACAGCCTCAGTAAGCGTCTCAGGGTCTGTCATGGCCGCCAGGCTTCCGAATGAAGGGAAAAAATCTTCCGAATGTTCCGGAGGCCACCCCTCTTTCCTCCCAGCAACAACAAAGCCGCGGGGGTCCATCAGGGAGGAACGGCAACTACAGAAAAGTGGTGTGTGCTGCCCACCCACGCATGTGATTCTGATGCATCGGCCAAAAGTAGGTGCTTCGAAGTGAAAGCTGTCGTGCACACGGCTAGCAAGTTGGCGCTCTGTTCGACCGATGGCCTTTCATTTCTGCGATTGCTGAATCGTTTTTTGGCCATTTTGGCCAATCTCAGTTGAGGTCGCGGCGCTTTCTGCGCGCCTGTCCTGCAAAAGGCACATCTAGGCGGACGCTCTCCATCTCGGACCATGAGAGGAGCCAAAAGCCCACAGGAATCAAGCGTGCTTCTCCCTTTCTGCACTGAGTCTCTCCTGCCCGCAAGGGCACAGCACCGCCCAGTCCGCCGCATGCCTCGAGGAACTCTTACAGGCAAGCTTTTTACAAGTAACAGCCTTTGGGCACTCAAGGGCCGCAGGTTCAGGGTCAGCAATAGGTTCAACCTGCAATTCTCTCACGTCCACTGCGTATCCAGCCCTTCACGACCTTAACACCTGCCCAAAACTTTGTCAGCAAAGCGCCTTCCCCGCCGAGTAGACCTTGTCAGGCATTTCTCGCCTTCCGTATCGCAGCTTGGTGTGATGCATGTGGGTCTTCGCGTTGGGGCGGTGGGGTGAGGGAGGGCATACGATCGGCTCAAACATATGAAGCAAGTTCTCTCAAAGTCAAGAGGCTGGGCAGCTTTAACCTCGTGAATAGAGCTACACCTGCCACCACTAAATCAATACCGCCACCTGCCACCTGGTTTTTGAAGGGCGGTGCTAACCTCAGTTCTTTTGACGCGCTTTGGACTACAAAGTCGGCGGCCTCTATTTCTAACGACTCTTGGGCGGACATCAAAATCAAAGACCACGTAGTACACTAGTCCTTCCCACAAGATTCCAAAGACAGGAGGCCTGCTACCCTAACGCGAGCACACGGACGTACTCTTTTCTTCGGTGGTGGACAGATCCCACATCGTAGCTCGGAGGCCGATCCACCTTCGGTAGATCGGATGCCCCGCCCCCCCCGCGTCGCCCTTCGAGCTACCAGGGTTCGCTTCCGGGTCTTTCTTCCGAAGTGCCCGGCTTCGACCCTTTCACTCGTTTTTGCTCCGCCTGAGCTTTTCATCTCGTAATAGCCCCCAGCATAGTCGAGCAGCTTGTCCAGGATCCGCCATTCTGGCTTCTCCCCCGTTCGTTCAACTCTGAACTGGGGATCGAAACTAGCGAAGTTCTCATTTGTCATGTCGTCCGTAGCACAATTTCTGGCCGCTAGCTCCTCGGCTAGCTCCATGAGCGCTACATGCTTCAGAATCCATAGCTCGACTCCCACCAGGGTGGCTAACAGCTCGAGTGCAAAAATGACCTTGTTCGGGTCCTGTTTAGCAAAGGCCCAAGGAGCCCACGCTTCCGTGACTTCTAGCGAAAACCAGGGTCCTGTGCACTAGCTCGAGGAAGCCTCCTATCCACGCTCGGCCTCGCATCCGTTGTAGTCTTTTTCCGCCCCCTGTCCTGACAGCCAGAATTTCATGACGAATCGTAGCATGGTGGGGATTGTCAACAGCCCCTGCCCAGGTTGCGGCAAAGCCTAGCCGGCCTAGCCCTTGAGAAATCTCCTTGGATCCAACCTTTCCCGCTTCCACCTCGGTCTCCATGGCGAGCCACGCCACATGGAGCGTCGCCAGCAGGAGGTAGCACATTGGCACCCCCTGCCGTCCTTTAGCACCCAGCGCAGGGGGTAGGCCCCCCTTATGAGATGGTGGACCAGGCACATCCCACGCTGCGATCCTTGTCCACCAGTAGTAGTTGCGGGCGATAGACCAAACGTCCGTCCATCTTCTAGCTCAAGACGATGGGCTCGCCCTCGCCGCCGAGTAGCCGCGGCGCGGGTTCTCAGGCGTTGACGGTGGGCGGCGTCCGCGTGGAAGTCGTAGCTCTGCTGAGGCTCATGCCCCCTTTGTGGAGGGATCCATTAGCAAGGCGCACGGGCCACGCTGCAGCGCTTCGTCGACCTAGCCTTGCCGTCCCTGGCCAGGGCGGCGGGACCATGAGTCATACCTCCCACGTTTTCGGGTTGCTCGAAGGCGAGCATTGTAGCGGCACCGTCGGCCACCAGCGTGGCGACCTCCCGCGCGAAGTCTGCAATAGCAGCGGCTAGCACGTGGAGACAATGCTTCATGTTTCAGGTTCTTTCCTTTCCAGAAAAAGGTAAAGCGTAGCGCACGTGGGCGGTCGTCCACCTTCGCAGTGCGTTGAGCTTCACCGGCGGTGTCCCTGACGGGCGCCTTGCACTGTAACGACGGGGCTTACCAAAGCAAAGCATGCACACATGCGCAAAATGGCATTTAGCTCCCTTCTTGCAGCCCGTCTTGGAGTTGTAGCGGACACATCGGCCCTTCTTCTTAGCCTTTCCGCCCTTGCCATCCCCTTTTGGCTTCCAGGGCTTTTCCGGCAGGGCTTAGCATGTAGCGCCATGGGGGTCGTCCTTGTAGCTCTTCACCAGCGCGTCGCCCAAGGAATAGCCCCAAGTAGCCATGAGCTTGTAGGCGTGCTTGCGAATGGCATGCTCTACTACACTCTACTACACTCTACTACACCCTACTACACTCTACTTCACTCGATCTGTACACTCTACTACACTATCTGCTCACTCTACGACACTCTACTACACTCTACTACACTCTACTACACTCGATTACACTCTACTACACTCTACTTCACTCGATCTGTATACTCTACTACACTCGATCTGCTCAATCTACTACCTCTACTACACTGTACTACACTCTACTGCACTCTACTGCACTCTACTACACTCTACTACACTCTACTACACTCTACTACACTCTACTCTACCACCCTCTACTACACTTTACTACACTCTACTCTACCACACTCTACTACACTTTACTACACTCTACTACACTCTATTGCACTCTACTACACTCTACTTCACTCTACTACACTCTACTACACTCTACTACACTCTACTACACTCTACTACACTCTACTACACTCTACTACACTCTACTACACTCTATTACACTCTACTACACTCTACTACACTCTACTACACTCTGCAGATTCCCAAATCCTTCTTCCTGGCTAGTGTTGGGTGGAGAATCAGCTTCGGCAGTACCAAGGTCGAGCAGTGCACTGCACACTGAGGCCTTTTCGACTCGAAGACGGACCAAAAGAACTTGAAGGTGTGTTTGTAGGTTAAGAGCCTTGCGCTCTTTAGGGGCGCCAGGCGGGTGTCCTTGCCATGGCTTCGCATCCTGACTTGGAGGAGGGGCCTACGCCCAATAGAGCTATGCAGCTTTCTTAGGGGTGTGCCGATTTCTTATGGGCCTGCAGCAGCTAGAGATCCTGCTGATATGAGACCTTGTCCTTTCTGGAGCGAGCATGCGCAAACCGAGCTTTTATTGCAAGCTGCGCGCCCTGTTGATTTGAACAGACGGGATGAGAGACCTGGTGCGAGCGAAGGACTCGCTGGGGAGCATGCCGAAGAGTTGGATCAGCAGTTGGCGAGCATGCGAAGAAGTGATGAGTTTGCAGCAGTAGGGCCATCTGACATGCCTACGCATCAAGCAGAGCAGACCTCTTTGGGTCTGAATCGTCAAGCAGGGCGTGCAGAGGAAACTGCGGAAGACAGTTTCGCTCGAACCCGGCAGCCGCAACTTGAAGCTGATAGGTTGATCCTGGAAGGCACGCGCGATTTGTTGGCTGTTCTTGTCAAGCAGGGAGCTGAATGCGTGGCACGGCTGGATAAGTTGGAGGAAGAGATTACAATGAGGTCTGCTGCTTCGGGTTCTGGTAGGATGGCACCGGAAGATGGTCAGCCTGCATGCAGTCTCCCTCTGTCCGGCACTAGAGAGAGTGCGAATTCCAACACAGGTTTGGGTGTGCAAGGGTCTATGGGCGGTCAAGGTTGCAATCAGGGTTTGCTGGCCGGGGATCCCAGGGTTGAGTCTAGGGTCACTACGGGGTGTCAATATTTTTACATAGGAGACGCTCCACACTCCTCCAGAGCAGAATCCCACGGAACGTTTGGGCCTCAAGGAAACCAGGGGCCTCCAGTTCCGCGTATGAGTGAGTCGGATTTGCTGGGACGTGTGTTGAGCTTGCCGAATGAGGAAATGAGTTGGGTCAAGCGACAAATTGAGAGTAAGGCTCAGTCCACTGAAGACCGGATGTATTTGTGGGAGGAATATTTTCAGCAGCAGGATATGAGGGGAAAGGATTTGCAGGTGGCAAGGAGCCACCCTCAATCGCCGCTCCTCACCGGAGGCGGACTACGGAGTGCGCAGCCACGTGAGTCTGTTCTTGCTCCGACAATTTCAAAGGCTTCGCCAACGCCGGACCAAAGGGGCCTCAGTCTCCAGGCTCGGGAAATGACGGGTAGGCTCGACCACATGGGAGTCCGGGGGGTTGGGGAGGTTCCTCACTTGCATTCGGCTCCGGGGGGTTCTCAGCAGGGTTCTCATTTGCATTCGGGTTCTCAGCAGGGTTCTCATTTGCATTCGGGTTCAAGGGTCTCACTTGGCGCCAATGGGTTTATGCCGGAAGGGCAGTTGGGCCTGCGTGGGTTGCTAGATCGGGGTGCTGCAGATGGGGCCGCGGTCCTGAGCTGCAATGATTCAAGTTTGAACGCCGGCCGCAATGGACCAGTCACTCAACAGTCTCCGGTTGTTGATGCTCCAAATATGAGGGCATGTGCTGACAGTCCAGGCCTTCGAGAGCAGTACGTGAGTGCATGTGCGGCCGATGTAACAAGTCCATGTTCTCCTTTTCATCCTCTTCTTCCTGGAAATCTTGGGGTTTGGAGCGCGGGGGATGCTTTGCATGGACAGTCAGTTGCCCCGAACATGCTTCCTGATGGCTATCCTAGTAGCGTTGCTCCTCCTACTTTATCAGCACAAGGGAAAGGGGGGGATGAGCGCCAAGGGAGGGATGTGTACAGTCCGGGGGATAAGGCCTATTGGGAGCTTCCAAAACTTCCTGAACTGGATCCGAGTCAGGCTCCGTTGCAGGCGGGGGATTGGATTGCAACTATCACTCCGATGATGGCAGACTTGTCACAGAACAGTGGCGAGTACTGGCAGGCCATAGTGCATGAGGCCTCCCAACTTTATCAACAGTGGCAGGTTGCAGATCCCCTTACGCGTGCTAGAGTTGTCGCTCGCATTCCTCCGTACTTGCAAGACGCGCGGTTTTCGAGACTCGAAAATAGGGCCCTCGCTATGCTGTTGAAGGGCCTCCCAGAGGTGCTTCGCGAAGAGGTTATCGCCTCGCGCAACTTGAGTACCATCAATGTCATTTTTAAAGTGTACTGCGCGTATCAGCCCGGAGGGCTGCGGGAGCGCGGAATGCTTCTTTCGTACCTCACCAGTCCTGGTCAAGCTGCTACTTCGTCGGATGCTGTGTCACGTCTGCGTAAGTGGTTCAGGTGGTTTGATCGTACAGTGCAAATGGGCGCAGCGTTGCCCGACGTGAGTCTTTTGACGCAGGGCTTAGATCAGATGTGTCAGCAGCTGCTTGTGACCATGCCACACGTCATGTTTAGGCTCAACATTG